CAGTCTCCCCCCCCAACCCACCCAGGTTGACCTGGCTTTTCCTCCTGTAGCAGCAGGCAAGAACTTCTGCATGGTGGCAATTCTGCAAAAACAGTATGGGGTCCTAACAGGAGGGAGACGAATGCTAGACATACACCCCCCACCCAGAAATGAGAACAAGAAGGAAAAAGATAGCTGCCCACCCCAGGTGCTTTCTAAGGCTCTGGAGCTGGACCACCCAGCTTAGACTGCAGCCGCCTCTTACTGGCCACTTGATCTCTTCCTGTGCCTCTGTTTGCTGATCTCTGAAACGGGGAAGAAAACAGTCCCTATCTCTTAGGGTTGTTGTGAGGATTGAACACTTGGAATGGAGTAAGCTCTGTGTTTGCTGTTGTGTGGGTCTCTCTCCTCTCTCTCTCTGCCCCCTTCCCCTCCCCACGTACATGTTTCATTCCATTTCTGTCATTTGCTTTAGCCTCTTTCCCATGATACCTTGATCCTGCCCACCACAGCCTTGCCCACCGTTTTTCTTTCTGCCTAGGCCAGAGCTGACCCAGGGATGCTCTGCCCACCGGCCTTCTTGACAGACATCTGCAAAGGGAACAGGCCTAGTGGGCAGGTCTCGCTTATGGGCGCTCACACAGGCTTTTCATTCTGCTGGTGTTTTGCCTGTTCATCTCACACTGGAGCCTGTCAGCATTGACTGTGCCTGTTAACTTTCAGTGGGGACAGTTATTAGGCAAGGTTAACGTATTCCCTTAAATACTTCTTTTCCTTCTTCTTCTTCCAGCCTTTAACTGAGAGGAAGCAGTTGCTCCGATTCTCTTCCCGAAGCAGGTGGAGCGCCTTTGCCTCCTTCGCCCCGGGTCCCTCTTGCCTCTGCTGCCCTGTGACATCTCTTTCCCCGAGCTCACACATGCTCATGCTCTCTCCCGTGACTCGCTGGGAGTGAAGAAATTACATAATTTTAGGAGTTTGATGGAATTGTTTTCCTAAGACGACACTCAGGTGTCCTCCCAAGCCGTAAGCATCTCCCCTTTTCATCCTGGGGCTCTGGATGGCATAGGGGACCCTCTTGATTACAGCCTCCTGTGCCATCAGCTGGGTCAAGTCACGGTGTGGTCTTTGCCTCGAGAGCGGCAGGTAGACCTCTGCCTTCTGCTGAACTGGGGACCAGGAGGGTAGCAAACTGCAGAACTGTTTTAAGGTTCCAAATGGATTCTCAGAAATCTGTGTTCTTGTCGGTTTAGATTGTGAGTATAGAAACTCTTTGCTCTCTTAGAAGTGAAATGTTGACTGCTGTTTAGTCTTATTTTCCTTTATGGTAATTAGCCCCTCATTAATCCGTCCTCTGTGGCAATACCGTATTTATATATGAGAATCTTAACTTTCTTCTCTGGGTATCGTTGGTTATGTTGGTACAATGGTGGTAATTGTGGAGGCCTTGGTTGTAAAACAGGTAACTCATTCACAAAGGTTAAAAAATCCTAAAGGTTTATCTTGCATTAGATTCTCCCTCCACTCCTGTGCCCCCAGCCCCCAGCCACCTAGTTGCTTTCCCCGTGGACACTCGCTGTGTTAGTATTTTGCATTTCCTTCCAGATTTATATTATGCACATATGAATATATGTTATTTCCCCCTTTTAAACAGATGGTAGCGTATATGTATGCAGTGTTCCGTGCCCCTTTTTCACTCAGCAATGCATTTGGAGATCTGCACATATAAACATGTGAAGAGGTGTCTGATTCTTGTTTGTAGCTGCAGAATATTTCTTCATATGGATGCACCCGGATTTGCCTAAGTGCTTTCCCATGGATGGGGATTTAAGCTTCCTCTTGGTTTCTGAGATGAAGGCCATGGATACAAATAAACACGTAGAATTCATACTGACCAGGTGCAGCTTAGACAAAGGCAAGACATTGAGCTGGTCCTGTGTTGCTTGTTGGGGATTTTTCTATCAAATGGGAAAGGACGTTACAGTGGTCTTCAGTGGAACACTCAGCTTTGCATATGTTCTTCTGGCAGTCCTCAAATAAGGAGGATCACTGGACACAGTCTTTTATTGTGTTATTTTGCATGCTAGTGGGTCTCCTATCTTGGAGAAGTAGTTTGTTTAAAAAGATGTTTGTCTGAGTCCAGCCAGATGAATGGAGATTCACAGGCTTGGTAAAGGGAAATGAAGACTTGGTACCCATTATTTAGAATGCGATTTGTCCAGGGTCAGGAACACTTACCCCGGGTGATAAAGGACTGATCTTTTCATCGGTTCTCATTTAATAGGTGCCGTCATGGGATATATCTGGGGTGGGAGAAGGCAGAACTGTAACTTTCTTGAGGGAAAGGTAGCCGACACCTCTGACCTCATAAATTCTTGTTTAATTGAATGAGAAACATGATGAAAGGATTATAAAGTCTGGTAAAGACAGCCCTAGCAATATATTAACGTATACATTGTATCAAAGTGTATATATTAAAGCCTTAACACGATGTGATGTTTGAACTAGCAGAACATTAGAAGATGAAGGTCATAATTTAGGAAGGAATAAGCCGTAAAGTTACCTTTATGCTTCCTTTTGAAGTACCGCTTTTAATGACCCTGAAAATCTTATTTGTAGCTAAACTTGAATCTGGAAATATAAATATATTTAGTAAATGAATGTAAGCTGTTAGCAAGGCTGTTGAGTAGCTAAGAAACAAATGCTCTTTGGGTCTGCAGAGGAGGTAGTGAGCATGTGTAACGGGAACCTTCCTGGGGACCCGCTTTGTTGGACTCTGAAGAATCAGTCCCACACCCTTCAGGACAGGCAGAGGGACTTCCACGTTTCATGCCTTTGGGGAGAGTTTCTTTACCTTTTGTCTGTTTTGAACATATTCTTTCTTGTTTGATTCCTTTAGCATTAGGTTAAATATCGGTCAAGTCTTACAACATTAAACGGAAACAATGTCTGTTTATTCACCCTTGTTCAAAAATAAGCCCTATGGATCTCCTAGCATTCCTTTATCTTCTTTATCCTTTAAATTATAGGGGAATCAAACATTTAAAAAGTGAAGACTGACAATCGTGGTAACTGATTTCTTTGAGAACCAATCAAAACTTCCAAATGATGAATGGCGATGATAGTATGTTTGTATAAGCACCTGCTGTCCGTGTTCAGGGCACCTGACATGCACCAATATGTTGGCTTAACTCTCAATTGGGAGCCCACGTTTAGCAACTAACATGCTCCATCTTCACCATGTCTACTTGATGATAAAAAGTCAGAGCCACTGGAGCTCGCAGCAGATTTAGGACCATTCTGTGTTTGGTTGTTGGTATTTGGTTGTAACTTCATGAAGTTATAGTTTTGGTGAGGAGGGAGGATGTGATTCAAAATTCTTCAGATGTGGTGAGATGACATGGATGGGGCTTACCGTGTTATTCCTTCCCCCCACTCCCTCCCTCCCCCCGCCTCCCTCCCTCCCTCCCTCCCTCCCTCCCTTCCTTCCTTCCTTCCTTCCTTCATCTTGCTCTGTCACTTAGGTTTGAGTGCAATGGTGTACTCACTGCTCACTATAACCTTGATCTTCCAGACTTCAGCGATCCTCCCACCTCAGCCTCCCAAGTAGCTGGGACTACAGGCACCTGCTACCACGCCAGGCTAATTTTGTATTTTTCATAGAGATAAGGTTTCTTTATGTTGGTCAGGCTGGTCTCAAACTCCTGGACTCAAGCAATACTCCTGCCTCAGCCTCCTGAGTACTGGTGCCTGCCACCACGCCAGGCTAATTTTGTATTTTTTTGTAGAGATGAGGTCTTGCCATGGCTGATCTTGAACTCCTGGACTGAAGCACTTTGCTCACCTCGGCCTCCCAAAGTACTGGGATTACAGTCATGAGCCACCATGCCCGGCCACTGTGTTTTTTTCATCTTGGTTCTCAGTGAGGAAACCAAAGCAGAACTGGATTAAGGGGTCAGAGTCCATGGGTCACCATTTCTTAATGGAGCTCTTATCTCTTGATTCCTGCTTCAAAGCGTTTTTTTTTTTTTCTTAACTATTGATTTGGTATCGAATTTTCTTCTTTTAACTAGTTCAACATTTATTCTCTCCGTAGCCAGAGCTCGTTGAAACTTTGGCTGTTATTAAATCCAGACTCTTTGTCTTTTCAGAGGTTCTTGGCTGTGAAGCCAGGTCATCACACGGCATGACTGTAATGATGAAACAGGATGTGACAGTCATCAGATCCCACGTTTTAGTGGATTCCTTTTAGACATTGCTACTTAAATGACTTTTCCATGCCGTGGCCAAAGTCTGCAGGCCACAAACAGTCCAAAACAAAGTGACTCCATACTGATAGGTTGACAAGTTTCCTAGAGAAAGGGCCTTGTCCATGTACACTGCTCATAAACCTTGTTTCTGAGTTTTACTGCTTCCGTTTAGCTGGGATGCTTGACTTTCTTTCATTGAAGGTTGTCTTTGCTTGGTGTTGGGTGAAGCACATCACAAAGGCTTAGATGTGGGCCCTGCAGTCCCACCCCAAGCTCCAACACCTTCCCTTAACCTCAGAGCTGTTCTTAGGAAAGGGAGATGCTCGTTCTCTCAGCAAATCCTGCTCTGATGCTAATCTTTCCCTACAGTCCTTCTTCTTCTTTTACTTTTTTATTTTTTTTTATTGCATTTTAGGTTTTGGGCTACATGTGAAGAACATGCAAGATCATTGTATAGGTACACATATGGCGGTGTGATTTGCTGCCTTCTTCTCTTATTTTTAGGGTGGAATATATCTATTTTTCTAAACCCTCACTTTATGTGAACCCCTTTTATTCCCGCCCAGTTCTATCTCAAGCGTTTGTATCTGTGATAAGACTGAAGACTCTTTCAAAGTCATGTCTTCCATTCGGCTGCTGTCTATTTTGTTTTTGTTTTTTAACGTGTAAAGGAATGTTTTTCTCAATCTTAGAGATGCCCCATTATTGTTGTTCTTCTGTTTCTTTGTTGGTAAGATCTGTTTGTCCCTCTTGTCTCAACTTCTTCCCGTGCAGGGCTGCAGACTCCTGTTCCAGAGGTTATTGTTGATGTGGAGTCCATGGACATCTTCCCCGTGGGCTGGTGTGAAGCCAATTCTTATCCTTTGACTACACCACACAAAACAGTCTGTAAGTGGTTCCCGGTTGAGGGGGGCGGTGGATAACATTGGCGATCTTCGTGAATCAGTCGGCAGCTTCGTAAAGAAATTATGACCCAAGTTCTAAAGCACAAATAAGATTTTGATTTTCCACTGAGAACCCATGTTTTTGTTATCTCACTTAATCTTTAAGCGTCTGCATGAGATGATGTCACAGGTTGCCAGACTAACAGTGAGGGACAGTTGAAGGTCACAGAGAGGCAGAGGAAAACATATCTGAAATCGTCACTCTCCGTTTTTTATACAGTTCATTGTTTTGATGTAAAAAAATTTGTTACATACTATATTATTGTATTATCATTTCTTTGAAAGATCTGATTTTTCTCATGTAGCTTCTACCAACAGAATACCGTGTAGCACGGTGCCTTGTTCCTGTAATCTTAGTACTTTGGGAGGCCAAGGCAAGAGGATGCTTGAGCCCCTGATTTTGAGGCTGGCCTGGGCAGCATAGTGAGACACCGTCTACACACAAAACAAGAAGTACATATAGAATTAGATTAGTTGAGTAGGGTGGCACATGTCTCTGGCCACTCTGGAGGCTAAGGCGGGGGGATTGCTTGAGCCTAGGAGGTCAATGGTGCTATGAGCCAAGATTGCAGCCAGCCTGGGTGACGAGTGAGACTCTATCTCAAAAAATAAATAAAACAAACACCTAACCTACTCTTAGCACTAACTATTCACTGTTATTTCAACTGTACTTTATAAAGTATATTACCACACATCCCTTTGGTTACAGAAATAGCAAATAAAACCAATATTCACAGATAATCAACCCAGCAGCACACGCCCATTCGTACACATGTGCACGCACACACATGCACATTTAAATACAGGCAACAGTGGTTTTTCTGTTCATTTGTTTTGTTTTGGGGACGGAATTTCACTCTTATTGCCAGGCTGGAGTGCAATGGTGCAATCTTGGCCCGCTGCAACCAGGTTCAAGTGACTCTCCTGCCTCAGCCTCCCAAGTAGCTGAGATTACAGGCACCCACCACCATGCCAGGATAATTTTATATGTTTAGTAGAGACAGGGCTTCCCCATGTTGGTCAGGCTGGTCTCGAGCTCCTGACCTCAAGTGATCCACCTGCCTCAGCCTCTCAAAGTGCTGGTGTTACAGGCGTGAGCCATCAAGCCCACCAACAGTGTGTTTTAATGTGTATTATTATAGGTCATTATCACAAAATGGTACCATTTAATAATCTTCTAACCTAATAAATCATTGCATTTATTATTCTATCCTAATGTGTATCAGAAGTGTTGTTTAAAATGATGAGTCCTTAAAGATCATAGGTTTCCACTGTTGAAGAGATTCTATCTCCATCATTTTCCTTACGGAACTTAGGCGCCAGCTTTCCTCCTTCCTAAGAGCCTGTTCTGTGGTCACTTCTGTAGACTCTCACAGCATTGCTGGAAACACCCCAGTTCCATCGCACAGTTGACTTGAAGTTCCTTGATGGCAACAGAGTTTCAGGGCTCCTCTAGCTAGCATTATGAAGAGCACCAGAGGACATTATGTGTGTGAAACAAGTAGGTAGTTCAGATTAGACACAGGCCTGGATGCTACGGGATTCTCCTTTTCCTCAACCGTCCTACTCAATGTCTGATCAGTTTAGAGTAATAGTTTCCCCTTATTTAAAAATATTCTAAAACATTGATCATATAATCATCATTTTAATCTCAGGGACATTATTTTCCCCTGTCACTTAAAGTGATGCAGATTCTGGCCAGGTGTGGTGGTGGCGGCTCACGCCTGTAATCACAACCCTTTGGGAGGCCAAGGCGGGTGGATCACCTGAGGTCAGGAGTTCAAAACCAGCCCGGCCAACATGGCGCAACCCCGTCTCTACTAAAAATATAGAAAATCAACCAGGTGTAGTGGTGGATGTCTGTAATTCCAGCTACTTGGAAGGCTGAGGCACAAGAATTGCTCGAACCCGGGAGGTGGAGGTTGCAGTGAACTGAGATTGCACCGCTGCACTCCAGCCTGGGTGACAGACCCATACTCCGCTCTGTCTAAAAAAAGAAGTGCTTCAGATTCTGACCTTGCCCAGCCAGCATGGCCAGTAGGTTCTCCCTGAGTTTTGTCCCACGATTGGAGCTCCGATCCCCTTTGTCCTTGTTGGCCCTCAAGGAGAACCTGGTGTCCTGAATCCTCTTCCTCTCCACTTCACATGGATATGGGAGGCTGCAAGTGCTTTGGGCTTTTCCGGAGCACAGTCACGTACAGGTTAAGATGAACACTGTAAAGTTTCCCGGTTCTTCAGGATTTGGGATCCGGGTCTGTTGTGCTTGGCTTTTTCCCAGGGGGTAAAGCATCCCCATCCCATTAACAAAGACCAAAGGAGACAAGTATGCCGAGCTCACTTTGCACCTGAGAGGTCCTAAGTGTGGACCTTTTTGTAGTAATAACTGGAATTGACTATTAGTCCAGAGTAGGCGAGGTTTTATGGAGTATTTTTCTTATTTATTTTTGCTTGCATTCCTTGCACATATATTTTGCTTTAAAGAGGCAAACTCCATCTCCAAAGCTGCCAGACTCCAGCAGCTTTAGAAGTTTTGTTGGAATTAATTTATGCTTATGTTGGAAGATGTAGGATTATCCGAGCCAGAGTTGTAGACGCCAAAAGCTTTCGTCTATTTTTGTTAAGGTGATCGGAATCAGTTATAAATATAAACTGGAAATGTTCTTATCCATAGAAATCACTATTCGCTCATGGATGTCAATATTTGACCAGACATATTTGCGAGCTACTGATTCTCCTTTTGTGAATACCATGCTTTAGTTTAAATGCACATGTCTGACAGCACTTTGGGAGTGCATTGTGATAGTGACATGATTTGCCCCATCACAACTCTCCTTGGGAAAGAAGTCCTTCTGGATAACTGCCTGCAACAATTGCTCTGAACATGTGTGCTTATGTGAGGCACAACAGGGGTACTCTTTTGCTTTCCTAAGCGCACATTTAAAGTAAAGTAGCTAGTGTCATGATAAGATTAAGTGGACTAATTTCTACCAGGATCTCACGTCTGGTGAGTTAACGTCTGTCCTGTGCTGGAAGAAACACATAGGGAATTGCCAGAGTGATGTAACTTTTCGGCATTTAAGTTACTGCTTTAAAATGGGTGCCTTTATAACCTGTTTTTAAAAATGGACTTGCTCCACTAACAAAGCTGATTTCCTTTTTTCCCATTTGCCTTTTTTACAGCACAAAAGAAGAGAAAGATTGCAGTTGTGCAACCGGAGAAACAGTATGTGCTTTTTTCCCCGCCAGACTGTACCATATACTGATAAACTGTAGCGTCTTTATGGAGGATGGGAAGCATGGCTGTTTTTATTGGAGTTACTAGCAAATAGCACACTAGTAGAGGTAGCAGCAAAACATAGTGGCTGTCATTTGTTGTGTACCTGTTATGTGCAAGACACAGTGACTGTGTGTGTCCCCAAGGCACTCACAGTCCAGATTCCTGTGGCTCGCTTTTTATTCCACCTGGGCATACCTGGGGAGCATCCCATACCTACACACAGAGTAATGGCTGTCTGTGCCTGCAACTCTCAGCGTCCACAGGGGCCCCACGTGGCAGGTGCAGTTTCGACTCGCAGCCCCTCACTGCACTTGTAACGCTGCTGCTTACTCACCTCTCCTGGAGTGGCTGGGCCTGGGGGGCAAAAATCTTCAGTCCAACCCCAGCTCTGCTGTGTGAACTTGAGCAAGTAACTTTAGTTCTCTGCCTCTCAGTGCCCTGGTTTATAAAATATAATTGGTGAGTTCTTATGAAGATTAAATTCGATTCCTTTTGAAAAAACTCTAGGCCTTAGGTTGTAGGCTGAGCAAACCCAGATTGTACCCCATCCCTCATTTCATTTGTGATTTTACTTGGAGAGAGGGTGTTAGGAAAGTGTGTCCAGGAAGGCAGTGTGTTTCTGAAAAGTTGTGACCTGCTAGTAGCATTTCTAGATATTGAAAAAATATTTAAAATACACTAAAATGTACATTCCTTGCCAAGTGATTTTCTTAAGTAAATAAAAATGTATTGATGGAAAGACAACTGAAAACAGCATTTTTCATGTGCAGTAGTTGAGTTTAAATAATATGACATTGAACTGTAACTGCACTGTTTGAATGACAATAACAGTTCTGTAGGTGCTTTTTATGGGTTCGCTTCTAAATGCAGCGTGTGCGGTTCGTAACCAGGTTCCACGTTATCCACCTGATGCTGAAGTAGAGAGATTTCACGACACACCTGTGACTAAATCCAAACTCGAATCCACCACTCCTAACTGTGCAGCCCATGGATTAACAGTTCTCACCCTTCCCATGCGTCAGTCACATAGGGAGCTTGGAGCGAACAGATCGCTGGGCCCGATTCTCAACATTTCTGATTCAGAACGTCTGAGATGGGGCCCAAGAATCTGCATTTCTGATGAGTTTACAGGTGACGCCATTGCTGTGGGCTTGGGGGACGCCTCTTGGAGAACCACTCCAGAGAGGACCTTGCTAAGATCTCTTGTAAAGGTTGACTTTGAGCTGAAGGAGCTTTTCATCCATGTGGTCTCTATGCCACCAGCCTAGACACCCCTGTGAAACCTGGCTCACCTCTTCTCCCATAAGGCTCCATATTAAACACATACTGATTCAGCAACATTTTTCCTGAACTCCAACAGAGCTCTGTCCTGGAATAAGCCTACTTCACAGTTTAAGATTCTCCAGTTTATAGATTTTCTTTTAAGGTCTTATATTTAGTGTGGCCATGAGTCAAACATGCCCCGAGGTCAGAAACCAAAGTTCGTGGAAAGTAGTTTTCAATTAGACATGGAAGTAGAAGAGCCTGCCTTTAATTAAATGTAACATAATGCATCTTGATGTCTGAAGTATAATGGAAGACAGTATTACAATTCCATAGCAAGAGATAAGGCCAGAAGCACCCTGGGAGAAACTCACTGATCAGTGCCAGCCCCATGGGGGCAGGTGTCTCATGGGCTTTTTAGGGTCAGCCAAAGAATTTGAGAATGTTTCTGAAATGCTGTTTTCACCTGGTCTTACTGGGACTGCTCCCATATACGCATTCTATTATCTGGTCTTTGTATCGAAGATTTCTAGAAGAGTCATTTTAAACTGTGATAAGACCCTGGAATGTAGTCGTTCCTTCCAAAGCTCGTGGTCCCTGATAGTTCTGTTTTCTCTGTTGACAGATCGCCGGCCGCAGTGCCTGTTAAGAAAATACCTCATGACCTTTGTTTATTCCCTCACCTGGACACCACAGGTAATCAGTCCCATTTAGGGGTCTCTGTGCCTTCCCACTTTGCAGTCAGGAGCAGAGACATATATATGTTTCTAGGTAGATATGAATGTATCTGCATGTTGAGTCTATTCTGTTTTTCTCCATTGCCACTCATGAGCAGATACTTACTTTTTACAAAGAAAAATTTCTAAGCTAAATTCTCTGTGGCTTTTCTTTTCTGCTTCTTGGCCAGTAGCTCTAGACAGTTCTAGTCTACAGGAGAAGGGTTTATTTGTGGCTTGCAAATTAGGAGCCAAGTAAGGGCTGTGTGTCATGCGGGAAAGGAAAGCATAGAGAGTATCATCTCATTGGGTAGTTTGGTTTGGTTTTTTTTTTTGATATTTTATTATGGTTCCACTTGCATTTTTACACTTGCTGTTAGGATTTAAGTTGCCCCTGGCTTTTGAATTGTTCCTTAAAACCCTCTGTTTGAAGAGCCGGTTGTGAACAATATATGATTTTTAATGTGTAAAGTCTTATATCTTACAATAACCTTTGAAAGTACATTGGTGAGCTACCCTCTGGCCATCAAGTCTCATAATAGACATGTTTGTACATTGTCATATTTGATTAAAAAGTCTATTCCCTAAGCCAAAATGACACCTGCTCGGAATTCCAGGATTAAAATGAACATGCCTTGGACGGATCCTACTAGTAGATTATCTTGGTAGTAAAGAGCAGTTCGATGAGTAGATTTAACTAAAATTTTGTTTTTCTACAGGCCCAGTAATCTAAAGTTTTTCTACAGGCAAAGTAATCCTACCAAAAATTTCCATGTAAAGAATGAGGCCCTGGACTTCATTATTTTGCTTGTTGTATATAATTCAAACTTTAGAATGGTTTTAAAAGAACCATGCCAACTACCCTTTCATAGTCTATAATTGTAATTTTACTTCTTTTCTATCTAGAAGAATAATATTTCTGCCTCCTACCTCTGCTGGTTCTTACTTGAAGTCTTTGTGAGAACAAGCCTACCTAGACTGTTAAATTACCATCCCAAATTGACAGCTGGGGTTTTGCAGAAGTTCCACTGTGGTTGTTGCTTAGCTTGGAGCTTGGGTAGAGTCAGGGTGGGGGTGCTGAGTCCCTTAGTCAGAAGTGAAACCTCGTTCTACATTTATAGACATTTAGAAGCTTCAGGCCCAGGATGGTGGCTCACGCCTGTAATTCCAGCACTTTGGAAGGCTAAAGCAGGCAGGTTGCTTGAGCTCAAGAGTCCGAGCCCAGCCTGGTCAACATGGTGAGACCTTGTCTCTACTAAAAATACAAAAATGAGCTGGGCATGATGGTGTGCACCTGTAATCCAGCTACTCGGCAGGCTGAGGCAGGAGAATCACTTGAAACCGCAAGGTGAAACTTGCACTAAGCCGAGATTGCACCACTACATTCCAGCCTGGGCAACAAAGTGAGACCCTGTCTCAAAAACAAACAAAAAAAAAGTTTCTCTTTTTTTTTGAGGTAGAGGTTTGCTCTTTTCACCCAGGCTGGAGTGCACTGACGTGATCTCAGCTCACTGTAACCACCACCGGGGTTCAAGAAATTCTTCTGCCTCAGCCTCCCAAGCACCTGGGATTACAGGTGCATGCCATCATGCCTGGCTACTTTTTGTATTTTTAGTAGAGTTGAGGTCTTACCATGTTGGCCAGGCTGATCCTGAACTCCTGACCTCAGGTGATCTGCCCACCTTGGCCTCCTGAGGCACAAGCCACCGTGCCTGGCCAGAAAATAAATTTTAGATTGAGATGTTATCATTTAATGATTCTGCTTGCCCATGGCGTTTTGAGACAGCAAGATCAGCAGCTTTCCCTGTTCCCTTTCTGAGTTGAAAGAAGAATGTGGGTCATGCAGACTTAAGCTGCAGTGAGGTCTGCTTCAGCTTCATCAGACCGGCAGAGTGGGGGAGCACAGCAGTAACCAGTGCTGGCGTGGATGTGGGACTGCAGGAGCCCTTCCCTGGTGCTAACAAGCGTGTCAATGGGCTAGTCACTGTGGAGAACAGCTTGCCCATGTCTGTTAAAACTGAAGATACAGATACACAGACCTGTGGCCTAGCCGATCCACTCTTGTTACACGCCTGAAAGACTCTCTTGCCCACATGCAGAAGATTTTCACAGCTGTATTCATGAAAGCACTGTTGGCAGTCCTGAAAAGTAGAAACAACTAAATATCCATCAGTAAGAGGCTAGGCAGCTAAATGATGATATATTAATTCAATAGAGTCAAATAAAGAAGTAAAGAAATGAATCACGCCTGTAATCCCAGCACCTTGGGAGGCCAACGGGGGTGGATCACAAGGTCTAGAGATTGAGATCTTCCTGGCCAACATGGTGAAACCCCGTATGTACTAAAAATACAAAAAAATAATTAGCTGGACTTGGTGACACACACCTGTAGTCCCAGCCATTCAGGAGGCTGAGAGGAGAATCACTTGAACCAGGAGCCAGAGGTTGCTGTGAGCCGAGACTGCACCACTGCACTCCAGCCTGGCGACAGAGCAAGACTCTGTCTCAAAAACAAAACAAAACAAAAAAAAGAATGAACTTTTTAGATCCACATCTACCAACTTGGATATATCTCCGAAACTTCTTGTTAAGCAAACAAATGAAATCTTATAGGAAATCATTTGTGGAATATGTTTTAAAATATCATATATTGCTTGTAAGCACACACATGCTTCTGTGTGTGTGGTTGACGTGCTTGTGGATGATGAACACTAGATTCAGGGTCATGATCACCAGTTTGGGGTGTCACTGGGGTGAGTGACATGGGATTTCGCTGTGTAGTTGGTGTTTTTGTCCTTGAACTACACAGTGATTCTGGAGTGGTCATCGTCTTGGCCTTTGTGTCTTTTCATGTGTCTTGAATATTGCATCATAAACAAATATTTATTTATATGGTGAAAGAAAAAATCTGAATTTTTAAGGTATCCTTAAGAATATAAAATGTCCTGCCAGGCACAGTGGCTCACTCCTGTAATCCCAGCACTTTGGGAGGCCAAGGCAGGTGGATCGACAGAGGTCAGGAGTTCGAGACCAGCCTGGCCAACATGGTGAAACCCTGTCTCTACTAAAAATGCAAAAAAATTTAGCTGGGCACAGTGGCATGCGCCTAATCCCAGCTATTTGGGAGGGTGAGGCAGGGGAATTGCTTGAACCTGGGAGGTGGAGATTGCAGTGAGCCAAGATCGTGCCACTGCACTCCAGCCTGGGCAACAGAGAGAGACTGTCTCAAAAAGAATAAGAAATAAAATAAAATGTCCCACTATTAGACACAGAGCCTTTTTCTCAAAAGAAGACAACCGTCCATTTTTCTCTGCTGCTCCGTTACAATTTGGAGGCAGAGCGAGGCCTCCTAATGACAGTTCTAATGACACTGGTCGTCACAGTTGTGCTCCTTCTGGGATTCATTGCTTTGATTATGCCTGACTCCCCATCAGCCAAGAGCTCAAGCAGCTCTGCGTGGTCCTTCTCCCTGACCGTGTGGATTAAGCAAGGGTCTTGGGTTCCCTGGGGTCTGGGGTTGTGGTCCTAAGCATGGGCTGTGTTGCTCTCCCCTGCAGGAACCGTCAATGGGAAATACTGCTGTCCTCAGCTCTTCATCAACCACAGGTGTTTCTCAGGCCCTTACCTGAACAAAGGAAGGATTGCCGAGCTACCTCAGTCGGTGGGACCAGGCAAATGCGTGCTGGTTCTTAAAGAGGTAAAGACATGCACAGTCACCTTGGCTTACTTTAACAGGGTTTTTTAAAAAGCTGTGGGCCCAGTTTCTGAAGGAGGGACTAGACATCAGAAGCAATTCAGTTAACATTTACCAAGACCTCCTTTCTCTCCATCCTGGGGGCTGAAACCAGAGATAGAAAGACAGAAAAATGGTGCTCTGCCCCATGAAAGGTTCCTTGTGCAGTGGGAGGGACGCATATCTGCCGCCCCTCAAATTAGAGGAAAATGTGGCACTAGATATGAATGAAGTGCTTTGGGGAAGACAGAGGGAAGATAGTGTTTGGAGCAAGGGCAGGACTGGAGTTCAGGTTTCCAAAGAGGTGAACAGCTTGGAATAGCACAGAGGACTTTGCAAGGCAGCGTATGGTATTGTTACTGAGAATGGTGCCCCTTGGCTAGGTTGTGGTGCTGTGTCTCCTTTTTTTTTTTAATCCATCTCTTCCCGGCACCTGGTACCTGCACGTGGGAGGTAATGGTAAGTATTTCGAAGGTGTCCAGGTGCTTTGATGAGGTTTGTCTTATGGATCTCATCCAGGCCTATCACTTGGAGGTTGTGCTTTGGGTGACTTTTCCCACTGCCTTTGGGTGATAACCTGCAGAGAGAGGTGAATCCTGAGAATGTGGATTGAGGCTCCTTCTCTACTGCGTTTTTCTAGAATAGCCTCTGACTGCTTGGAGACAGATTAGAAATTTGGAATAGTTTCCAAACTCTCCCTGGAACTCTTATCTCTCATCTTTTCTTACACACATCAATGCTTTCTCTGAAGAAAGGGGATACCACATGGATATTCTTTTTTGCCACTGTACCAAGATGAATGTTTCTTAAAGTTCTGCAGGCACAGCAATCCATTGATCCATTGAACAAATGTTTGTTAGGCAACTCTGAGGAGCCAGGGACCGTCGGAGGCATTGGGTTAAAAAAGAAACAGGCTCTGCCTTCTGCCTGTTGCGGTTTCCTGCTCTTGTTGGGGAGATAATATAATCCTCAGCTCAGTGTACAGTTGGGGGTTCAAGAGAGAGAGCCAAGAGCACACTGCTCTGGGAACAGAATGGAGGAGAGAACAAATAAATGGCAAGTGACATTTAATCTGGCTTAGGCAGAGTGCATAGGATCTTGATTGCACAGCATGGGAATGGCCACACAGGTGGGAATTCAAGGTGTGTTCCAGAAAGGAGATTCAGGTATGGCTGGAGCTTAGGAACTGCAGCCTTAGGAAGTTCCTTAGGAGCTGGCATAAAAGGGTGCATTAGATTTTGAGAAGAAAAACAGAAGAAGCTGACCTGCCTTGATGATTCAGTGTGAGGTTAGAAGGAGCAAATTGGAAGGGGCCTGCTTGTGAAAGGCCATCTTTGATATTTTAAGCGATTTGAACTTGAATCTATGGCTGGGGCACCCTCAGAGCGACGCCAGACTCAAGCTTTCCCTCTACCCGAAAGCCTCTGTATGGTTTCAAATATCATTTCACTTAACGAGAAAGAGGCCATTGAGCAAAGTCAGAGGGCATTTTTGCTTCCTGGTCATCAGTGGTATTCGTAGTTAAATACGTTTATATTAGAAAAAAACATCTGCTTGAGAGAGGAAGTAGGGGTTACGGTTTAGAAACTGATGAGGCTATTGTTGTGGTCATTTATTCGGGAACATGTAGAATGTTTAGCAGGTGGTCTCTGCCCCACACCAGCGTCCAGTCGAGTTGGAAACATGAGTAGGTCAATAGAATGTAGCCATGTGGTTTCAGGTTCCGGGGCAAGACCTGGCACACACACTGTGAGATCATACTGTAGGCACCTGTGGTCTGTGGGGACCGCAGAACAGGCAGCCTGCCTCAGGTAGGGCGAAGAGCAGGAACAAAGCTGGGGCATTCTGGGTGCAGGGGATGAAGGAGGGAAGAGGAGAGGATGCTCACAGTGCCTGAAATGTGCAGACCACATGGGATGGACCCAGAAAGGGCCCTGTTTGTGTTGAGTCTCATGCAGGCCTGGCCGTGGTACCACACCCTTCAAACACATTTTCATTTAGTGGCAGAGTAGAGCTGCCTTCATTGCAAATAGCTCATTTCTGCATTTGGCATCATGTCTTGAAATCAAACATTACGCATCTCGCTCAGCCTCAGTGGTGAGTAGATTCCATACATGAGAAATTTACAGCTGAAGAAAATGATGATTGAGTTGGGAGGGCCACACCCTGGGAAGGGCTCTGCACTGTGATTCAGCAGCAGGACGGCTAGCTAACTCTAAGCATTTAAATTGGCACAGATCTGAGATCCTTGCAGATATTAAACTCGGTCCAAACAGAAATCAAGCCAAGGATACACGTAAGAATTTCTGCCACCGGAAATACGACCCTAGAGAGAGAATTGACTTTCCTCCGTCTGCTGCAGCTGTCAGTCTGTGAATGGATTCCTACTAGGGCGATGTTGTCTGCCTGTATCTGTGCCTATTTTTGTTGTCAGTGATAGGATGGGGACAGAAAAGCTGACAAAAGTATGGAGAGCCAATGGGCTTCTTTGAAGCTGCCTCCAAGCCTGTTTCACGTGGCATGTTCTGTTAAAATGAGATCTTCCCTTATCTGCCTGCTCTGTTAACAAGCAAGATGACCTTGGCTTCAGCCTTTCTTGAGGGGCTGGCTGTTCTACTTTACTAAATGACTTTTTAAAGTCAAAAGTAGTTATCCCTGATCAATTCTCCGATAGGTGCCAGCAGCCACATTTAAAAGCTAGGCCAGAGCAGTTTTCTAATGACAAAACTATTTTTTTGCTGATGTTTGAAAAAAGCATGCAGCAGGAAGAAAGAAAACAAAAAAGTGAGTTCTGTGAGTGCAAGAAAAATGTAAGTTCCACCAAGCTGGTATTTATGCTAATGCTCCTCTTTCCGTGCCAGAACCTCTGTAGCTTCAAATTTCATTTTAGTTAAAGAGAATGAGGTAACATTTTGGGAGGCTAAGGTAGGGGCATCATAAGGTCAAGAGATAGAGACCATTCTGGCCAACATGGTGAAACCCCGTGTCTATTAAAAATACAAACATTAGCTGGGCGTGGTGGCGTACACCTGTATTCCCAGCTACTCGGGAAGCTGAGGCAGGAGAATTGTTTGAATCCAGGAGGCAGAGGTTGCAACGAGCTGATATTGTGGCACTGGACTCCACCCTGGGGACAGAGTGAGACTCTAGCTCCAAAAAAAAAAAAAAAGAGAGCAAGACAGATAACGAAAAGAAGCCAAGACAGTGAGTTGCTTTTCCTGGCCCTCAGTGTTATTGGGAACTCGACCACTTGTGTGTTAGAAGATGTGCAGTGAGAGAGGTTCACCCCTATCTGTTCTGCTGGAAATAGACAATGTCTGGGGGTGTGGATGCAGACATGGCCTTCAGCATGTCTTCAGCAATGTTCAGTGCAGGCTGCAGAGTCCAGTTCTGGGCTCCGTCTGAGTGGGCCACTTTACGAGGGAGGACAAAGTTTCTGGCAAAAGTGGTCTGTAATGCGTGTCTCTACTCACTTGATGAATATTAGAGTTAAGTGGAGTTTTGAGGGACCAAAACTATCTGGCCTCAATTCAAGGGGGGTTGCAGCGAGGGGAGGTAGGGGACCTGGGAGCAGCTGGACCCAGAGTCACTCAATGGTTCATTCAGGTCCAGGCATACCCCATAAGCAAACTCAGAACAGAGCAGGCCTTGGCATGGAGGGGCAGACCCAGCGGCGACCACCCTCACATGCTGGACCTTTTATAGCATGCCTGTGCCCAGATGCAGGAAAGGTGGGACTTGTAAGGCACAGGCAGTAGTGATGGTGTTTATCCTAAGTCACATTTCCATGCTCAGTAGGGTCATTGTCCATTGGGATCATCTTTTTGTATCCCAAATCCTTCCATCCCATCCCTCCCCCAGTGTGCCAGGGTCCCCAAAAGAGAGCTAAACTATGGATCTATGTTGTATCAAGAGACTGGTTGCATCCTGTGACCAAAAGACTCTTGTCAGCTGTTGTGTTCCTTGTGCATTGCACAAGGAGTTCAGGAAATGTTTGCTTGTAACTTACACACCATCTCATGAATCACCAGGCCTGCAGTTCTCACTTCATAGACAGTGTGTCAGGCTGGTGTCTGTGTGTGAAAGAGAAAGCAAACGAGTGAGCCAGCCTGGGCACAAGAGACCAACAGGGAGTGAACAGCTAATGTGTTTACTCATGTCCACGGGTCCTAGAGTGACCATTTCAGCTGCAGACACAGACCCATGAGGAAGGTGAGAGCAGACCAGCCAAGCGCTCCTGGCAAAAATGACTCTGAAAACACCCGCCTGGGCAGGGCGTTGGAGCTTCTGCCTTCACAGAAACTCCAGACATCCTGGGGACAGTGTCTTTGGAGAAAATCCCAGGTGGCTCTCGGAGACTTGGGGAGCCTCGTGGTTTTACTGAGAATTGATTTGGCTCAGAATATTTCAGTTACATTAGGTCACTTCTGTTTTTCAGAAAAAAAGAGAAACATGCCTTTCAGGTGGGGCATCTGTGGGAGTCCCTTTGTGGGTTTTCTGCAACAGCTTCAGGGGTGCTGAGCAGGCAGGGGCTCCCCAATTGCGTTCACTCGGAGGAAGGCCTGGCCCGTGTCACAGGTGCTGCTTTATGGCAGCCCAGGTTCAGGAGCTTAAGAGAGGAACATTTATAGAAGGGAAATCAATGAGCTGTAACTTTCTATAGAAAGGTAGAAACAGAACTGATTTTCTCCTCTATTTTTTCTTTTGGTGCTTAAAAGAAGGGTTTGGAGAAAGCCCTGGTAAGCCTGGGCATGCAGGACACTTTGCAGTGAGGCTTCTCAGGGCTTGTTTTTGGCTCTAGTGTAACTCTCCACCCCATTCAATGAGATGATGGTGAGACCAGGGTACTCAGCTGAGGTCCAAAGGCTGGGTGTGAAGGAGTAGAGCAGCAGGGTCCAAGAAGACGTGCTGCACCCCTGGACGAGAGTGTGGTGTCCCCCCCCAGTCCCCCACACCCCAGCCCT